TGTAATGTATTCTAATTGTAACAGTTATAGTATAATATATTACTGCTCAAAAAAGTAGACAAGAGGTCTACATAGTGAGTTCCAGACTAGCCAGGGTTACATAGTGAGACCCAGTGTCAAAAGATAAATAAACAGACAAGAAGCCGGTTATTCTCTGTGAGTTTGGGGTCAGCCTGGACTATATAGTGAGTTCCAGGCTAGCCAGGGTTACATAGTGAAACTCAAAGGCAAAAAATAAAATAAATGAATGAATTAATTAATGACAAATAGAAGAGGCAGTTACCATTTAAAAAATGTAAAAAGCAAATAGACATAGAAGCTTTTCAACTTTATAATCTGAGAATGTACATTTAAATAATAATTCCATCATTTTTCCCTGTTGGTAAAAATTTTAAAGCTAATATTCAATATTAATGAAATAGCCAACCAGCCATATATGCCAATGGTGGAAGGGAAAATTATATGACCTTTCCAGAGCATACATTTCTTAGGATTTTAAGAATAGGCTTAGCAGTTCCACTTCAGAAATTTTTTTTAATAAGAACTCACACAAGCATGAGGGTTATTCATTGTAGTGTTTTGTTTTAATGTCCGCTTGTCTGAAATGAATGATTCCATCCTAAATTTGCAATGATAGGTCATTAAGAAATATTAACATATAATCATGGAAATTCCATATTCATTTAGTAGTTGAAAGACTGAGGCACCTACATATGCACAACATTTAAAAGCTGTTACTAAATATTAAGTTTAAAAAGCAAACACAAGGGGGCTAGAGAGATGGCTCAGCAGTTAAAACACTGGTTGTTCTAGCAGAAGACCCAGGTTCGAATCCCAGCACCCACACGGCAGCTAACAACTGTCCGTAGTTCCAGGGGATCTGATAGCCTCTTCTGTCCTCCACAGGCATTGCATAACTACATGCAGGCAATACACAAATATACATAAAATAATAAATAAAATATTTTTAAAAAAATAAATGAGTAAATAAAAATAGACAAAATAGTATTTGTGGCAGTACTGTGATGCCAAGTATACCTTGAAAATTAAAAATCAACTTGTGTAAGGATGTAGCACTTTGACAAGAGTTCTTCCTGGCAAGTGTGAAGTCCTGAGCATCAATCTCCAAGCAGTCTGGTCAGCTGACCAATAAAATAATAATCTTGTGTAGCTAAGAAGGAGTTTGGGATGATAGGACTGGCCACTGTGCCTTATGCATAAACTGGACAGGTAAGAGGTAAAGGGAGAATACTTTTTATTCAGTAAGGAAAGCTAGCCAGTAAAATGGCTTGAATTCTGAAGATAAAAAAGGCACAGAGAAGAGGAGAATTATTTGTCTCCTATCTAGAACCCTTATCTTTATTTGTAGAAATTGATAATTTGTATAGCTTCCTTAAATACAGGACACTAAATGTAATTTAACACACTCTTCCTAATTGTTGTTTTGTTTACAGTCAGGGCATTCATAGCAAATGGTTGTGTTTTTAAGTACCATAGCAAAGCTGTTGTAAGGTAAACCAACAAACAGGGGTTATAGGTTGCTCCCAGCAGAGGGAATCTACCCAGTCACTTAAGAAATGGTAGGCATCCATTTCTGGGCCACCACAAATCTCTACATTCCATAGTTTTCCTCGGACTGCTAGTTGGCTTATACTCTTCAGCATTGGTTTCCATACTCATATGAAATAAAGCCATATTTTCAGGGAGAGAACATCTTAATCGCAAGCTGCTCTGTCTCTTGATCCCCTTTCTCTCAACTAAACCATCTCTAACCTAGATAAGAGCATATTTTAAACTAACACTTGGGGCTAGATTTTTAAGCTAGAGGCTTCTTAGCAAGTTTGAGTTAACAGGCCTGTGCTATAAATATTTGGGAGCTAGTATTGATCATTTTTTTAAAAAGGCATTTGTTTTGTAGTTTAAATAATTGGGGGGGGGTGCAATGGAGAGATGGCTTCACAAGTGAGAGCACTGGGTGCTCTTGTAGAGGACCTGGGTTTGATTCCAAGCACCCTCATGGCAGCTAACAACCATCCCTAACTCGAGTTCAGGGGATCTGATGTCCTCTTTTTTTTTTTTTTTAATTGATTGTCTGTGTGTGTGTGTGTGTGTGTGTGTGTGTGTGTGTATTTCATACAGAACATCTCAAACAATCTTAATCATCTTTCTACCTCCATCTACCTCTACTGGCTCCCTGCCCCCACTGGAGCCCATATCCTCTGTCATCCCTGTTACTGCCCACTACAGTACAGTATGCCTGTACATCATCCCTGCTACTGTTGTCAGTGCCCCCAGCCATTCCCCAGTGCAAGTCCATCCACTGAGTCTAGTCAGCCTATCTAAAGTCCCTTGTTTTAGGAAGATCAGCTCTTCTTTATCTAGCAGCAGTCTTTCAACTTGGAGTTTTAAAAAAGCTGTTATCACTGTTTGTATGGAGGCCAGTGAGTCCAGACAGCAGAAAGTGTCATATATGTCTGAAAACAAAGCTTTCTTCTGTCCCAAAGGGATCCCTCAGAAGAGGGGCTGGGGGCCTATATTCACATTACTTACAGAATCACTTCTACATAGTGATTGCCCTTGTTTTGACTAGTTTGTTGTAGACATAATGGCTTGAGATGAGTGTTGGTTTTTTATTATGTAAAGTCAAGCTACTTTGGGTCAAATAAGGCCTGAGAATCGGACTTTTAGCAACGTTTATGTCATTGCTAAACTTGAAAAAAGCAATTTCTATAGAGTATTAAGGAAAAATGATTTCTTAGAGTAGATTCTGCAGAGAATGGGTAAGGGAAGATAAGGCTGATAATAAAGAACATCTGAAGAATCTTACTATAAAGCAGTGCTGGGAAATAGTGTATGATTTCAGGAGAGTGAAGTCAGAGTTCAGCCTCCTGAGTAGATTTAATGGTGTAGATGGAAGATGTACCGTTTGTACTTTCATATAAATGGGCCGTTCAAAAGAGAAACAGTGATGCAAGAGAAAGGGGACAGCCACCAAAGTTTGTCTTTAAGTAGTCAAGGGAGAGTGAGGTAGTTTACATGTGCAAATGCCACATGAGAAGAATAGTCATCACCAGGGGGAATGTTTTACGGTGGTTGCTGTGTTAGGGTGGAAGCACGTTGGAAGCGCGTGTCGTTCTCAGTTCTGCCTTCCATATTCTCAAGCACACTGGAAGAGTGAAGAGTGAAGATGCTGGTGATTTGAAGAATGACAGTCATTTAGGCAGAGTATAAAATCAAACATTTTAGGTGAGCCTGCCACTAGCTGTGTCACACAGTTCCAAGAACTTTGTCCCTGTGATGCAGCATGCAGGCATCCTTGTGATCTACATTGTACTGTGGCCCTTTATGGAGAACCTTTTGGAGAAGTGAATAGAGTGAACTATGCTCATGTATAGGGCAGATTTTTTGTAGCTTGGGATGAAATTTTAGTAATGGTATTACTCTAATATTCAGAAGTTCAGTGCTTTGAACAGCTTGGACATGAGTGATAAATTTAGGATAATTTCATGTTTTTTCTTTATTCTTTTAAAAAATTAGAAAATATATATGCCCTCATAGTTACAGGGTAGCACATAAATTTCTTTCTAGAAATAGGTACAAAGAATGTATTTTCTTATCATATTATTTTACCTAATCTATTAATTAAAATATGAAGGTTCAGCTTCTTCCTTTGGAGTTACAGATCTAGCTCATTCAGTTTATGGACAGTGTGCCAAAAAGTTCAATTGGCAAAGTCATTTCTCATTGTAAAATACTCACGTCAAACTTAATTTTAATTTAAAAAAAAAGTTAAGAGTTCACACTGTGTGCTGTTCTCCAGAGACTTTAATATCCCTGGAGTCATATACTTTACTAAGATCTAAAATTGAAGAAAGTAGGAAAAGGATAAGTCATTTTTATATGAGGTTGGGACCAGAAATCAGTTTTCTTAATGCTCTGCATGCCCATTCATTCATGGAGAAAAGGGTTATCCAAGAAGTCACTATAGCCCAGTCTGAAGACCCATGCAGTGGGACATGTAGATGACCTCAAAGTATCACTGATTATATCATTGCAGAGGTGGAATGAATTTGCTTCATGAATGTGACAGTAAAAAGGAAAATATCAGTTTTTCTAAATATTTCTATAAAATATTAAATATGTAAATATAATTAAGTCCTTTATAAACATTTGGTTATTTCTGTTAGTGCTTAAGATTTGTGTATTTTCACATTGTTACCCGCAACTAGTGATAGCATCTAATGAGGAAAGGGGAAAATGGCCCTATTTTTAGCCTGCGTGATACCTTTCATGCAGTATTACCAGCCTTTGTATGGGTTCAGCCTTTTCAGAATCAGGATCCTTGAATTCCAAGATCTTAACTTAAACCCACCTACTTTATGAAGAAAACCAAAAAAAAAAAAAAAAAAAAACGGAAGGGGACAAAAGTCTGGGAATGGATCTCAGAACCCATTATTATTGTCACTAGGAAAAGCAGAGCATGTGTCCTTTTGATATGCTCAGCTAAGCAGAAAATAGGAACAGTGGTAGACAAGTGTGATAAGGGAAAACTTAAAGAAAAAATTTTCAATGGTTTTAAGTGAAGCTGGGAGTTATTTGGGTTTTTGTTGTTGTTGTTGTTTGGAAGGATATGATTTTATTCCTTTGGAAATATCTGTAAATTCTGCAATGGGCACCTTTAGAAGCCAGGAAGGCCATCATACACTTCCTACAGACCCTTGGACCACCACATCTATCTTTCAGTCCCCCCACGTCACCATGGCAGAGTCCTTGCTCTCATTTGGTGCACACATGGTTTTCCTATACCACAAAGATTACATACAGTGAAGCTGGCTTTTTCTGGAGTATATCTAGAAATTTGAAGAGTAAATTTTTAAAGTATTTATAAAAAGTTGTAAACTTACTGCTGAGGAAATTTAATTTTTATTTAATATATTAGTTTTAAATCTGTTATAAATCTGTTATAAATTGCTTTATAATTCAATATTTTCTACTCTTAGGGCTTCATTATTTCAAGAATGTTGTGCTGGTAGGATCACTACAGGATCGCTATGTTCCATATCATTCTGCCCGCATTGAAATGTGCAAAACAGCCTTGAAGGACAAACAGTCAGGTAATGGAGTGAACTTAATGTGTTTCAAGGAGGTGTATCGATAAAAGAACTTTTTCTCAAATGTCCCATGTAGTCGCCTCTCTTCTTTCCTTTTATTTACTTTTCCCTCTTCTGTTATTAGCAGCTGTCCTTTCTCCCATTTTTTTTTTCAGTTCCTTTTCCTGCTCTGTGAGTTGTCTGAACTCTAATTGAACTCTCATTATAAGTGCTTCTCCGTTTTGCTGTCTCTGAAGTAACCTGAACTTTGATTTCCTCTTCAATATTGGATTTGGTTGTTATGGTAGCAGCCATGCTGTATGGTTTGTGTGTGTGTGTGTGTGTGTGTGTGTGTGTGTGTGTGTGGAGAGAGAGAGAGAACTGTTTTTTTTTTTGTTGTTTTGTTGTTGTTTCTTTGTTTTCATTTTTTGAGACAATTCACTGTGTAGACCAGGCTGACCTTGAACTCAGAGATCCTCCTGCCTCTGTCTCCCAAGTGCTACAATTGTAATTGTACAACAACTAAATGATGATAGTGAATGGAGTTTATTTATTCCTTTGCTAGTTGTTAACAATAAAAGGAATCTAAATCATAACTAGTTAGAGCTATTAGGCAACTTGAATCTTGTTGCTTATTTTATAACTAAGGCTCAGAGCTACTAAGTGGTTTATCCAAAGACAGTGTTGGCAAATACAAGCTTAAAGCAAGAATCTGATCTTCTACCTCCCAGGATTGTCTCAAGGTTTTATTTTGTTTTGTTTCTTTTCTTTTTAATGAGACTCATTTTAAGCCCTTAGTTGTCTTCTTCCACATTATGATAGTGAAGAGCTCCTTATGATGGTGACTTTCATACACATTTGTATTAGTGAGGCTTTGCATGGTACCACACATGGTACTCCATTCACTTGACATTTATTATAAACTTGTGACACCAGAGTAACTAGAACCTACTTAAGGGGAAAATGGAAAAGATGTCTAGATGGGTAGGTAAAGCTAGGTAAGTGTTCTATATTTAAACAATGCAATTCTGAGCTACCAGAAGCAGAGGTTACTGACTTAAAAAATGTTGTCTTTTTAAAACATACCTTAAAAATAACATGGAACCAGAAATCCAGTTTGATTCACAGTGAAAATTAAAGATGGGAATGAAAAGGTTTTTTTGTTTTGGGTTTTTAGTGAGCTTATGGTACTAATCTTTCTCTTAAATGCCTGTTTCCCTTCTTGGTTCTCCTGTGCATGCTTTTTGTTATTCCTGAGGACAGCACCCTGCTTTTCAGAAACGCAGAATCTACCCCTGAAATTTACTGCTTCCACAGGAACATTAGTTACTTACCCATCAGAGATAAGGACTACATAAGCATTATAAACAGTGACTTTGCTCCTTAAGATAATTTGTACATTTATGTACAAACGTGTATCTAATCTTTTATGCCTAGAATGATCTGCTAAATCCTTTATACGAATTGACTCACAGAGCAAAATCGAGGTTTTATTTGTCTGTTTAGCATACAAAGAAATGGGTTTCATTGTGTCATTTCCATGCATGAGTACCATTATGCTTTGTTCTTGTCTGCCCCCCATCTCCCTCTCCCAACCTCCCTCTCCCCCTCCTACTGATCCTCTTCCCCTTTCTGCTTTCCTGAAGCCTATTCCAGTACCCTCTCGTTCCCCTTTTCCCATCACTTTAGTCCTCTTCTCTCCTTTCATAGTCCCCTTCCCCAAAAGTACACAAAGAAAATGTGGTACATATTCAGCTATAAAAAAGAATGAAACCATAATATTTGCAAGAAAATTAATGAAACTAACACCATTGTGTTTAGCAAAATAAACCAGACTCAAAAAGAAAAATGTCACATTTTCTCTTATATGAGGAATCAAAACTTAAATTTACATATATAATATATGTATGTATGTGTGTGTGTATATATATATATATGCAGGACATGAAAACATTCCATTACCAGCTAGACTATAAAGTATTTTATTTTGTTCCATCAAAATATTTCATCATGGGGCTGGAGAGATGGTTCAGCAGTTAGGACTGTTAGCTCAGTAGTTAGTGTGTGTTGCAGGGCTGGAGAGATGGCTCAGCAGTTAAGAACACTGGCCGTTCTTGCAGAAGGCCGGGGTTCAAATCCCAGCATCCACAACTGTCTGTAACTCCAGTTCCAGAGGATCTAACACCCTCTTCTGACCTCATGGGCATTACATGACACGGGTGCACTTACATACATGCAGGCAATACACTCATATACATAAAATTAAAAAAATAAAGAAAAAAAAAGAGAGTGTTTGTTGCACTTGCAGACAACCTGGGTTCAGTTCTCAGCACCCACATGGTAACTCCGTCATCCTCTTCTGCTCTCGCCGGTATACATATATACATACATACATGTAGGAGAAACACACACATAAAATAAGTCTTTTAAAATTTTTAATGATTAGCTTATTTTATTATAGGTTAGCAGTTTATAAGTAAGTAAATTTGTTTGACTAGATAAGTGTTATGACTACCCATTTTCTATAAACAGTCCTATTTTAGGGGGCTGGAGAGATGACTCAGTGGTTTAGAGCACTGAGTGCTCCTGCAGAGGACCCAGGTTCGATTCCCAGAACCCACATGGCCATGCTGCCATCTTCAACTGAAAATGATACACAGCAACACTTGTAGTATGCCAGATGTCATGGCGCACACATAAAAGACTCCACCTTCTGACCTCTGTGGGCATTGCACAACACGGGTGTATTTACACACATGCAGGCAATACACTCATGCACATAAAATAAAAATAATAAATCAAATGTTTAAAAAAGAAACAATTTTATTTTAAACTTTTTAAAATTAATTTTTGTTTCTTATGTGTATGAGTGTTTTCACTGAATGTATGTAAGTGCACCCATGCATACCATGCCCACAGAGTCCAGAAAAGGGCATCGGATCCCCTGGAATTGGAGTTCCAGATAATTATTAGCCTCCATGTGGGTGCCAGGAACTGAACCCGGTTCCTCTACAAGAGCAGCCAGTGCTCTTAGCCATCTCTCCAACTCATTTATAAAACAATCTTAAAATCATAGCTGAAGAAAAAGAAAACCTTCTAAAGATGCTTTTTTGCTTTGTATGGAAATGATACAAATGTTACAAATTATAGAAAAGTTGGCATAGACCTTTTCAGTTACTTGTACAGTTTTCCTTTTCTTCTATTTGTTCTATAGGACAAATCTATTCAGAAATGATCCACAACTTGCTTCGCCCAGTTCTGCAAAGCAAAGACTGTAATTTGATTCGATACAATGTCATCAATGCATTGCCCAACACGGCTGATTCACTCATCGGGAGAGCTGCACACATAGCTGTTCTTGATTCGGAAATATTTTTAGAGAAGTTCTTCCTGGTTGCTGCCCTCAAATATTTCCAGTAGGACGAAAGCATTGTTAGAGACTTAATAATTACCTCATTCAGCAGTGATTTAAATACTGTATTATAGTTATGTAGATGCTAAGTTCTAAGACATATTTATACCTTTTTATATGGAAGATAATTTATATCATCCATGTGTAGAGCCCTTTAAACATCATCTTTACTTTCTAGGTAATGTGGCTGTGCAATATTTTTTTTAATTTTATCTTTTTACTTTTCTATTACTTTTTCATATATTTTGCTACCTAAGTATTTCAGTGAAACTTTAAGCCCATATGTATGTCTGATCATTTGTTATTGACGTCTACAATCCTTACTCAGACTTCAACATCGTATTAAAGGCTGTTAACTGCTAGAATAGCATGGGATTTTAAATTTTCTAATTTGGGACTTTTAGTTAACTACAAATTTTACTTTTAACACTTTACTGTGTTTTAACTGGAAGTAAAATAATGGCTGCTAAAATATATTTTTGAAATCTATTTCTTTAGTCCTAAAATAACAACTACATGTGTTCAAACCAGGTAGTTCATACATGACAATGTTATAAAGGTTTTCTATAAAATCATTACTGTTGCTATTAAACATATGTCATTGCCTATTAAAATATGTTTTTTACTGATAATTTCAACATTATTTCTCATATTGACTTTTGTTACTGGAACTTTTCTTGTTCATATTCATAGCATATAAAGATTTTTGAATGTCCCATGCCTTGATTTGGTTGAAGTTTTATTAAATTTGGTAATGTTGCTTGAACTTTGACAATATTTCTTTAACCTTTTTCATGGACTTCCTTCTATGTACATAATTAAATGTTAAAACTTATTACTTTTATGAATTTAGATAATTTTTAAATAATATTAAAATTTATCCATCTGAAGAGTCATGTAAATAAAATAATTCGGTTTAAAATTGGAGAAATAATTTACGTGTTTGGTAATACAGATGCAAATGTTTTTGCTACATGGAGATGTTGAGTCTTTTGATTTTTCTAAAGGTGCTGAACAGCATTGAATTCCCTATTTTCCTTCCCTGTTTTACTGGTGAAAATAATCATGCACTAAGGGTGGATGGAAGGTCTGTTTGCATTCACCAGTTGTAATGGACAAAAGGTTTTTGTAAGTCTGTATCATGTATAATTGATGCATGTTTATTTTTAGTATCATGTTAATTGCCTCTGGTGTTAATAAATGTGCAAATGCCTATCTGGAGGAACAGCTAAAACATTTATTATCCTTTGCTTGCTCTTAGAATACTAGAGATGCAGTAGTATACTGCATGACATTGTAGTCAACAATGGACTTACACGGTGGCATACAGTATGTTGCCTCGGTATGTCATAGGCTAATACCATCTCAGTTTATCTAAGTACACCCTAATGTTGACATGGTGCCCAAATCTCTTCTCAGAATGTTCCCCCATCATTAAGTGACAAATGACTATATATACTTTTCATTTTTAATTAGATATATTAAATTAATTCTCTAGATCAATCTTTTGTATATGCAAGTAGTTAAAAGAATTTTACTGATGGTATTTTTTAATTATTTACTTTTTTAAAATACTCAATTTACTAATAAATATATGATAATATATAATTGGAAAACAAATATATCCATTATCCACCACATATTTTTGCTGTACATTTTTCATCTTATAGATTAGTCCTCAATTTGAAATATCATGGATCTTGTATGTTTGAATGCCTCTGGCTTAAGAAAGGACTCATTCATAGCATATAAATAATATTTAAGAGAAAATTTCTCTTAGGATCATATTTGACTGGGTTTTGGTTATTTCAATACCATTTTAATTATGTCAGTGATTGTGGTTTAAAAGCTAACATTTAATTTCTGATTTATCATATGCCTTTACCTCCAGATTGAGGTTGTGATGGATGAGGTGGTACCCTGAAGGAGATGGGAAATGGTTATCTGACATGGTGTAATTGATTCAATGAGTCTCATCAAAGTATACCAGCAACAGTTCTTCGTTGCAAACAGTAAACAGTTATGATTAACTTAAACTGATTATGAGGGTACTGGTGGGTAGGGGGGTATAAAGATGATTAACATTGTTTGAAATATTCTGTATAAAATACACAAAAATTTAATAAAAAACAAACAAAAAAAACGGTGTGATTGGAAGAATAGCAGGTTCTTCACAGAACTGATGAGAACAAGGATTGGGAGGCAGACGCCAAGGGAAATAGCTGACCAAATTCCCAGTAAGTTTTGACCATAGATAGAAAGAGTGGAAGATGGTGTGTACTTCCACTGGCAAAGAGGCCAGTGAAAACTGGGTGTCAGATACTTTTGGTTTTGTCTTTTTTTGAAATACAGTCTCCTGTAGCCCCAGCTGACCTATAATAACTCACTATGTAGACCAGACTGACCTCAAACTCAGAGAGATCTGCCTGCCTCTGCCTCCCTGAGCGCTGGGATTAAAGGTGTCACCACCACGCCCAGCTTCAGATACTTATTTACATAACTCCCTCCAGTTTCAGAGTCTGATGGGAATGTCCACCTGACCAGTGCTCAGGCTCTTGGGTGTGGAGGGCAGCAAATGCATCTGATCCATTGAGCTTCCAGAGAAGGAATTGGGCAAATCTAAAAAGAATCCTGCTTCTCTTGCAGAAGTGTCGCTTTGTAAGTCCTTGAATATCTACAGATGCTGTGCTGCATGAGTAGTGTGGTCCAGTTTGAGCTTTGGAGTCAAGTTGATCCTGGGTACTAACACAGACTGACCTCTTTGTAGGTCTGGGACTTGGGACAAATTCCTTGATTTAAAACAGTCATTTAAACCTCATCTCTCAGAAAAGGCAGAATGATATTGATTGTGTAGTAAATGTCGATTTCGATCATTCCCTGTAAATGTGCCCTTACCAATGAGCTTTGCCAACTCTTTCCATGGAGACAGAATTGGTTTCTTAAATCCTGGACCTAGGCTTCCCTTATTTTCACTGTGAACAGGAAAGAAGAGAGTAGGGGTTGGGAGTGTGCTCGCCCAGCATGGGCCTGGTGGCACATACGTGTAATCACAGCACTTGGGAGTTAGAGGAAGGTGATCAGAAACTCAGGGTCATCCTTGGCTACACAGTGAGTTTGAGGGCAGCCTGGGATATATAAGACCCTGTCTCAAAAAAAATGAAATTTAAGCCAGGTGTGGTGGCGCTTGCCTTTAATCCCAGCACTCAGGAGGCAGAGACAGGCGAATCCCTGTGAGTTCAAGGCCAGCCTGGTCTACATAATGAGTTCAGGCCAGCTAGAGCTATAGGTGTCTCAAAAAAGACCAAAAAAAAAAAAAAAAGAAATTTAAAAATTCAATGAGTGTAACAATGGAGCAGTTGTGGACCTACTTTAACAGATCTTGAACGTCTCTGCCTTCACCCCCACCCCAACCATCTCTGCCCTCTCCCTGAGACTAGCCCATGTTAACTGCAGGAGGATGAAATACCATGACCAGAGTGCCACAGTGATCAAACAGCTCTCCTGGAGTCCTGAGAAGCAGAGCTGCCTGGACAGCCAGCATAACACATGCCTGAGGAACCAGCTAAGAAGACCGTTCAGCAGAGCTCAGCCTCATGTGGGCTCAATCTTAAAAAATTCAGTCATGAACTAGTGTGGGGAGGAGACTTGGTATGCTTGATAGCTAACCAGTAAATATCCAGGTGCATATAGAATGCTAAGACAGAATGATCTGTTTATTTGAAATTGTCTTTATTAGCACTGTGCATGTTATAAGTACCACTTCCCTTTTTCCTTGTGTTAATGTTGAATCTTGTAAGGCTATTTTTGTTCTAGAGAAATGTGTGTAGACAGTTACACAGGTTATTGGTGCTAATAATCACACTGTACACCACTAAAGGAAATCGTTGATGAGGGTTAGTAACAAGTATTTAGGTAATAATTTTATGTTGGTCACATACTGAAGTGATAAAATTTTAATACACTGAATTAAAAATTATTATGGTTGCTGGAGCCAGCAGCTTGCCTGGATAAGTTTGGCTGCTGCGCCCACTGTGCCTTGACTCCCCCAGCTTCATTTACCCTCCCAGCTCCCCCATGCCATCTCTCCTCCTAGCAGGGGGACTGGCACATTTCCTGTCTTGGCACCCCAGACCTCTGGACTGACGTCTTGGCCCAAACTCTCCAATGCGTCCTGATCCTTTGCATCCAGACCAACACAGTTCCTCCCTCTAGTCCCCACTTCCCTTTGCATCTCTGGGTGGCCCAGCCCCACAGCTTCCTGGAGCCAGCAGCCTGCCTGGGTAAGTTTGGCTGCTGCGCCCACTGTGCCTTGACTCCCCCAGCCTCATTCACCCTCCAAGCCCCCCCCATCTCTCCTAGCAAGGACGCTGGCTCATCTCTTGTGACACCCCAGACCTGTGGATTGACCTCTTAGCCCAGAATCCCCTCTGCTTCCTGATCCTTTGCATCCAGACCAACCCAATTACTCCCTGTAGTCCCCAGGAGCCCTCGGGCCTCTTCTTGCCCCAAGGCCTCTTCTAGTCCCCGCCTCCCTTTGCGTCCCTGGGAGCCAGCGTCTTTCCCAGGCCCTGCTACCAGGCCAATCCAGCCCTCAAAGTCCTGAGGCCAGCATCTTACCTGGAGGGATCCAGACCTTAGGAGAAAGCCTGAGAGCATCTGTTCCTCATCTGACTTGGGTCTCTGTAGGAACTCCTGAGAAGCAAAACGAAAGCAATTTGGCCACTCCGATATAAAATCAAAAGAGAGAACCTGAAGCCTAGATCAACCAGCTTTTCATGCCCAAAAAGTAAACCACAAAGGCAAAGTTTACAAAAAGAATCAGACCTAAACTCAACAAAGGAAGGCTTGAGTCTCATACAAGAACCAGAATCTAAAAAAAAAAAAAAAAAAAAAAAAAAAAATCTGCATGTCAAAGTCACAGAAAAAATAACATGAAAAATCAAAATAATATATCCCCATCAAGTACCATCAATCTTCTAGAGGAGTACAGTGAGAACCCCCTAGAGATAGCACAGGACATGGAACTCAAAAAGCAATTTTAAACATGATGAAAGAATTTAGTGAATTTAAAGAACACACAAAGAAATCAAAGAACTGAAAGAAGATAGGGATAAACTTCTGAATGAATTTAGAAAAGAGTTAGAAATATTGAAGAATACTCAGGCTGAAATAAAGAAGGAAGTGAAACACCCAGTAAGCCAATTAAAAATGACAGGAAAAAGCCTCACCAATAGAATGAATGAAATGGAAAACAGAATATCAAGACTGGAAGATAAAGTGAATGAATTAGACCACTCAAAGATTATGAAAAATTTAAGAAAACACAAGTATGGAATATGTAGGAATTGTGTGACACAATAAAAAGACCAAACTTACAAATTGGCCTACAGGAAGGAGAAGAATCTCAGGATAATGCTATGGACCAGATCTTCAATAGGATTGTAGAAGAAAAGTTCCCAAAATTAAAGAAAGACATGCCCATACAAATACAAGAAGCATACAGAACACCAAATAGGACCAGAAAAGAAACTCTATGGTACATCATAGTAAAAACACTAAACGTACAGAACAAAGAATACTGAAAGCTGCAAAAGTAAAACAAGCCACATAAAGGAAAACCCATCAGAATAACAGCTGACTTTTCAGTGCAAACTATGAAAGCCAGAAGAGCCTGGAAAAAAGTATTCCCAATTCTAAATGACCACAGATGCCAACCCAGATTACTTTATGCAGCCAAAATGTCTATTATAGTCAAAGGTGAAAGAAAAATCTTCCATGACATACATAGGCTGAAAGAATTCATTTTCACAAAACCAGCCCTTCAGAGAGTTCTTGAAGCAATACAAAGAGCTGAGGAAAGGAATGACTATACCCAAGGGGTTGCAGAAAGAAACTTAATGAAGGTATAACTATGGAAATACATAGCTACACCAAGAATGTGAACAGAAAAATGACAGGAATAAGTACGCATCTTTCATTAATAACTAAATATCAATGGACTGAACTCCCCAGTCAAAAGACACAGATGTTGAATGGATTAAGAAAGAAAACCCATCTTGCTATCTGCAAGAAACTCATCTCACTTTCAAGGACAGGCACTACCCTAAGGTGAAAGGATGGAAAAAATATATATACCAAGCGAATGGTACTAAAGAAAAAGCAGGTGTTGCAATTCTAATATCTGACAAAATAGACTTAAAACTAATCAGAAGTAAAGAGGGCCACTTCATTCTG